TTTAATTTTTTGTAAAATTTCGATGGTGAAAAATGCAAACTTTTCGAGTTATAACAATTTGAATTATTTATGGTAAAGGTAAAAGTAACCCGGATTTGCCACGCCCACTGCAAAAAATTTTGTGTTGTCTGTAATAATGTGTACAATGTCAAATAATGTTCAAAATTTCAAGTGTTTACAATCATTAGATCATGAGATATTCGTAGTTAAAAGTTTTTTTAAGGCAACGGTGACTGTCGGTGGATTATAGAAACCGTTAAAATTACGCAAAGTTACTACAGAAGTCAATACAAAATTTTCAAATTCAAGGACAAAAGATACATTTTCGATTATGTAAATTAGGTCACGTGATAGACCTTATGTTTAAGTTAAAAATCGCGATTTTCAATTGGCTGTAGAACCGAAAGTTAACGGAGCACGACAAAAGTGAAAATATTACCGGATATATCTCGTAGTTGGACCTTTGTTTAGGTCAATAGGTCAACAAAGGTTAAATAAAAGTAATATGAGCCTTTGAAATTTCAAAAATTGCTGTTTTCGGAAGTCTGTAAAACCGAAAGTATATGTTGCACATCAAAAATCAAAGTAAGAATGGTCATCTTAGATCAATGACCTTTGACCATGCAAAGGTCAAGGTCATTTACGTTAAAGTTCAAAAATAAAATTTTTTAAAATTTTTAAACCTGTTCCCTTTTTTAAAGTAAAGAACGCAAACAACTGTAATCTTATCACAAATTGTCCTAAGCAGTGATCTACTTTCATGCAAAATTTCTTTGATGACAATTACAAATTGCAAATATTTCAGGTAAAGGTAAATGCCCACCGGATGTGCCACGCCCACTTCAAAAATTTTAATTTGTCTGTGATGATGTCTACATTTTTAAATAATTTCAAGTGTTTACAATTATTAGATCATGAGATATTCGTAGTTAAACTTTTTTTTAGGGCAACGGTGACTGTCGGTAAATTATAGACACCGTGATTTTACGCACAGTTACTATAGAAGTCAGTACATGCAAAGGTCAAGGTCATTTATGTTAAAGATCAAAAATGAAAATTTTTTAAAATTGTTAAACCTATTTCCTTTTTTAAAGTAAAGAACACAAACAACTGTATCACAAATTGTCCTAAGTATTGATCTATTTTCATGCAAAATTTCTAGGGTGAAAATTGTAAACTATGCGAGTTGTAACAAATGCAAATATTTCAGGTAACGGTAAATGCACACCGGATGTGCCACGCCTACTTAAAAAATTTCAATTTGTCTGTGATGATGTGTACATTGTTAAATAATGTTCAAAATTTCAAGTGTTTACAATCATTAGATCATGAGATATTCGTAGTTAAAAGTTTTTTTTAAGGCAACGGTGACTGTCGGTAGATTATAGACACTGTGAATTTACGCACAGTTACTATAGAAGTCGGTACAAAATTTTCAATTCTTAAAACGCGCAATTTTGATCAAAATATCAAGTGTGATATATCACCAAAAAGGAGATTTCATGCACTCAAAGAATATATAAGAATTTTTGTCGTATGTTAATTAGGTCACGTGACAGAGCTCTTCAAAGTTAAAAATCGCGATTTTCCAATGGCTGTAGAACCGGAAGTTAACGATACACAACAAAAGTGGAGATATAATCGGTTAGATCTTGTAAGAGGCAACAACTTTTGTTCAGAACACAAGGTCACCAAAGGTCAAAGTCACTAGATATGAGGCTTAATAGTTTTGACAATTACTGAAAACCGGAAATAAAAAAAATACAAAGCCAAAATTCAAAAATCGGCTTCCCATGTTTTGTTAGCAATCGATTGCAATTTACATAAACCTCAAATTTTCGAATTATAACTAATTACAAAAAGAATTTTTCAAATATCTACAAAATTCCGGAAGTTGAAATTTGAAGTTTGGAGGCGAATGACGTTAAAACCGTAAGTGATATCTAAATTTTGAAAGCATATTTTTATTCACAATCAAAATGTTTTTTATTTACATGTAAATTTTCAGATCGATCGCAATAAAATTGTGGAAGTTTAAAAAATGCTTTAAATAAAATCTCCAAAAGTCAGCGACAAAAGTCAAAATTTGAAAATTCTTAAATTGCTATCTTTTAGACATTAGTTTAAAGTAATGAACAAAACAAAAATTATGTTCAAAATAGATTCAGAATAATAATAGGTATTGGAAAGATGTAATGAACGGTTAAAGTCCTACGTCATTTCCGGTTGGGCGAAGATGCGTCATTTTACATTTAAACAATAGCGACACGTTAAGTATAAGAGATAATGATGTCAGATAATCTGTGGTATGTGCGGTTTTGGCTGGGGAGCGTGACCAGAAGTAGACAAAAAAAAAAAAAAAAAAATAGTCATTTTGAAAACAAAGCAGTGCGTTCGAAGAACGCACTGCAAAAAAAAAAAAAAACTAGAACTGTACTAATAACAGTACTGATGCAGGGTGTGTTACGACATTCGGGTACATACGAAGTTGGTCTATTGCAATTACACGTATGTAAGTACTTTTCTGCATCTCTAAATGCAAATATCCAAAAGTGCCTGGAGTTGACGAACTTTCTGATAGAAATTGGGGAGAATGGTAATTTAATGGACATGTCAAACTCAGGAATTTTATCTATACTGACATCTCATTAACCAACTTAAATTTGATACCACAATGTTAAACGAATATAATTTTTAAATATGCATGTTACATAGACATGTTGTATATCACTGGAAAGCTCAGAATCTCAGCATTATGAATTCGAAAGAATTATTGCTATATCACTATTAGGCTACGAGATACAGCACTGCAAAGGTTCAAAATGGACCATTTTTAAACCCCTATAAAATCGAAAATGGTTGTCTGACCCCAAAGTTCAAAAGGTCATCAGATATTCAAGGTCACAATTTATCATCATAGTAAATATGAAGGTCACCAAAGGTCAAGGTCATGAGATATAAGCCTTCAAACTTTGAAAAAAAATATCCGGTCGTACAAAAAAGGCAAAACCGAAAATCAAAATTCTGTCCTCAACAAGTTTTAGATAAACGTTAATTCTATCATTTAACATCAAAATTGTTCAAATCGGATAATAAATAGCTCCAAAATAGCAAGTTTTGCATATTGGGGCAAACCAATATGGCGACCTATATGTTACTTCCGGTACGAATTTTTTTAGTTGTAACACTTTGTATTAGTGACACTAAGCTTATGCATATGTCATTTCTGACATAACTCAATTTCACCGGAAGTGATGGCACCGGAAGTACTAATATCGAAACCGGAAGTGATAAACATTTTTTGACTATGCAGAATTATTTGCCTATACCGATGGTCTACGTCATAAAAATTTCAAATTGATCCGTCAAAAAGCAACCGAAATAGCATTTTTCGATTAATTTCGACAAAAAAAAGTATCAAACGATTTTTGGAAAATCGAATATTTTCAACTGCTATGATATGTCCTTTGTACTAAGAATTATAATAAAGGAAACCCGAGAAAAATCGAACGATAAATATGTCCTCTACAGTCCATTTCGGGTTTTTTGCTATCTCACTTCCGGTTGCGCAGAACATTTTCGTTTTCCATTTAATACGTGAATAGCCACGAGTTAGAAAACGTCATGAAGTCCGTTTTGTCGTACCTATTTCTGGTTCCGAGAAATAAGCTCCCTAGCTGACGAAAAAAAAAAATAATCGTTACGAAAACAAAGCAGGGCGTTCACTTACGAACGCCAAGCAAAAAAAGAATTGACAATATGATAACAAACAATAAAAATTGTATCCTCATACACATACTTGGGTATATGATTAACGGACAACTCAACATTTAAATGTCAGAATTACGTAAAAGGTTTAGTGCCAGACATAAACTATGTACAGCTGACAACTTTTCTACTAATGGCCTGAATAACATATATAATTGTATCATCAAATTAATAGCTCTGTTTTCATCTGATATTTGGGGAGTTCAAATCTTAAACAGTAAAAAGAGATTCTTTGATTGCTGGGATAATTTAGATCAGAAAAGATAACTATTAGAACAGCAAAATCCATACTTGGCTTGTCAAAGAAAGCCTCAAACATAGGATGTATATCAGAACTATCAATTCCCCATTCAATGGTAAAGAATACTATCATATCACAAAAGATTTACTCCAAGTTCAAAATTTACAAACAAATCCTATCCTATTAGCAGCTTTTAATGATGATTCCAGCAGGGCTGACACAGGCAAGTGCTTTCATGAGACTGTTCTCATCACCATCTAACACAGACCCTATATTCTCTTGATCTCATGCAGTCAATAAACTAATAAACCATCTGGACATTGACCATAACAACATATCCCCCCAAATCATCAAATCCTCAATTTACAATAAATTTGATTCCATTTATCAACAACAATTAAATTCCAAAAGTAAACTAAAAGCTTATGCACCAGTCAACCCTTCAATTTTAACTCAGCTAACTATCTAAACATTGTAAAAAATCCAAATCATAAAATGGCATTGACATCTTTTGTATACACTACAGTCTAGAAGGAACAATAATTAACAGATTTTGACGAAACTTGTTAAAATCGTTTCTTATCAACCTTTGATGATTTCTATTGAAAATCAAAAAATTTAAAATATTTCATATGAGTTATTGCCATTGTTCTTGAAAATGGTTAAATTTGTAGAGCTCTGTAAACACTTTTTCTTGCCGAATTTTAACAAAACATGGTAATATTATACAGCATCCCCCCAACAGAAGTGTATGACTGAAGGTTGAATATATCATACTGGTGATTGTTATTGTACTGCCAAATATTTTTATCTTAAATTAAAGCTGCCAGTGGGCTTATAATATATTACCTTCCCTGGCAAGTTATCTTTTTATCATATTGAAATCTGGTAAGTGTTTTTATTTTTTACATTTTATTTATGATGAATGTATGTATATTGCATGCTGTCATTTATGGTACGTAATGATACAATAAAAGATCTATCTATCTACCTGTAACAGACATTTAATTCGTTCTCCTGGTGCCATTATAACAGTTGTAAATACACCTGCTACCATACCAGCTTTAAATAACTGAAAATATCTGAAAATTTAAAACAATATCTCAAAGTTGTGTAAAACAAAATCAAAGAACTTGTTATTTTGAAATAAAATTTTCATGTCTTCCATAATATAATAATATGTATCCATCGCAGTAAAAATATGTTACTTACGTTAATACATCATCAGGATGCTTTTGTTGTAGACGTTTACCTACACCAAAACCAAAAAAACAAATTGCAAACATAGGAGCTACACCGGCAAGTGGGGCTGCCATACCTTTATATAGTCCGAGGAAACCCTACAATAATAAATACAATAAACTGAAAACATCAATGTCAAGAGAAACAAAAACACAACACAAAACCCTCCTACTATGATATAGATGTATATACATATTTGTATTAATGTAGAGGTGCTCATAGTATATAACTTGTAAACCACTTATTTTATACAAACTGAATAAATTCGAATTCAACCTTTCTAAATGTCACTTCAGCAGGCCCTAATTAAAAAGAACATTGTTAAACATAGACATGCAAGGCATGGAATAAGTCATGGCAACTACCTAATAAAAGCATACAGATGATACCTTGCAATTTAGGAATTTCTCACAGTTCAGAGCAGTAAATTAGTAAAAAACTGATGCTCATCACCAAAATTAATACAGAACAACCATGGTGTTATAAACATAGCTAAAAAAATGAAGATAAATAGTGCTTGCAGAGTTGGCTAAAGATGGTACATGGCCCTTTCATGCTATGACTCACTCTGTGCCAAAACTTCACATCATATACAAAGTAATTTATATAAATTTATATAATTTATATAAAATAACATTATTACCTCATTTTTAACTATTTTGGTAAAACAATCAAATGTTCCTTTATAAAGTGGTGATTGGCCTGGTAATGGTCTTGGCATAGTCTGTATTCGAACCTAGATAATAGAAAAAAAATAATTTTCTTTCTTTTGCAATCATTTATGGCTTGTTTTTAAAAAAAATGGCTGATCAAATTGTCCATTTTTTCTATCCAGGAGTAAAATTTGAACAATTGAATTGGAAAACAACTGTAACTGATTCTTGCTTTTCTGAATTAATCTCAAGATCACCCAGACTGAGACATGATTGCTATTCTATTGTTATTTAACCTTTAAATCAAGATCATTTTCTGAATGTTTGGTTATACATGACATAAATTTGTTGAGGGATTCAACCTATACTATATAGACCTGATTAGGCCAACTGTATACTTTAAAGGCATACTAAGGTCAAAGTCCATAATGACACACTTGACTGATTACTTATTCATAAACCATCCAAACAATACACCTAGTTGAAGAAACCTGCTAAAACGGAAAATCACAGTGACATTTCAAGAAAAAATATTTTTGGTACTTTGATGATTGGTGGTTGACTTGAAGAGCTTTATGTATGATTAACCCTACCCCTGATCTCCTTTTATTGAATGATTCCTCACAACAGAAGCCAAGATATTTCTGATGTTTGAACGATATTAAAAGGAAAACACCACTATTTTATATTAAGTAAAACAAAACAAATTTTTTTAATAATTTGAGAAGACAAGTTAACTCAGTGTTGTAGACGAGTTAACCGTCGAGAGTTGACTCTCTCGACGTATAGACAGTTGACTGAATGCCCAGGTGGGAAAATACAGTTACTACTATGGGCACTACTAACTTTGAGTTTTGAGAAGTACAGTCAAGTAACCTAATTTCGTGCTATCCTATTTTTCATGGATGCTCATGAAATATGGGTCAAAGTGAAGGATTCATAAAGAAAATCGAAACAAACCAATTTTAATTATTTTGTAGAATATCTGAGGAAACATCTAAGATATAAAAAAAATTCTGTTTTTTTAACTTTATCGAAATTCGGTCTTGAATCCTTATATCCACGAAAATAGGTTACACCACTGTACTAAAAATGTAAAGAGTTAGCTTTATTAGTGGTTTTCTACATACAGTGAGTAAATTGAATTTCTAAAGATTCTTTACCTTAATCATATCAAGAGGTTGACCTGCACTTACACAACAAACTCCTCCAAAACCACCAGCAATAAAGTCTTTTATAGGGCTCGGCATTTTGATTGGTGGTCTCAACTGTTAGCAGACGAAATACTAATTGATGTTTTGGCTACCCCAAATCAGTCTACCGACTACTCTGCTTACTTCTTGGATTGAGTACCTTGATTGTAGTCTTTCTTAACCAGACCTACAGTATATATTATTCTTATATACAAGATTTGAGACTAGTTAACATCATCTCAAAATAATAAAAAAAAAAGACAAAAATAACATATAACTTTAAAAACATAAAACGAACTAATATAAAATGTGTGTAAAAACGTAAAAAGACACAATTTAAAGAAGTACCGATTCGAATACACAAAACTGTAAATTTGTGGGATACTTTGAACCTTAGAAAACAAAAAACTAAACTAATTCTATCATTTCTTTTCGTTAGACAATTGTATATTTCGGAATATAAGTATAGCACTTCACTTCCGGTGACCGTAGGGAGATAAATTTCGACAAAGTCATGTTGTCTTCATCAATTCCAAGACTTTCACTGTCCATTCAAGTAATTAATTTGACTCTTTATAATCATGCAGATAAATGAGTTTTGGTTCGATAATGGCAAAAATGCATCACACAGAATACCAAAGATCAAATCCTTATTTTCGTTCATTATGAGGTCAATAGGCCTAAAAAAGAATGATTGTCATTGTTACTGTTACAGGCTACTACAGTGTCATCACTTTCCTTTTTAATTTTAACATAATGTGTGTTGCAAAGACAACAGTGTATTAAAATATTTACTTACATTAGTACTAGATGTTTTTCAAGAAAATAATTCATGGAAAGGAACTTATTTACTAAAACTAAAGATTAGACAGTAGTAAACTTTCCTTTCAGTATCTGTCATTTGAATCCATAGTCATCTGTCAGAGGCAAAGTGAGAAAATATTTTTATAAATTTATCTCGTAGAATGAGTAAAAAATAAATTATTTAAATGAAGATATATATTTCCCAAATTTTTTTTTGTTATTTGAAGAATGGATGCCATCAAGCTGGAAAATGTTTTTCAGCATTCATGTCAAGAAAATATTCTTCAGAAGGTAAGGAATTTATTTGTTTAAGTATTCATATGAGTAACCAGATGTGTGTTGGAAATTACAATATCAAAGATATCTATACAGTAATTCCTACTTCTCACTAAACATACTTAGATATTCTGACAGTAAAGAATGTGCCAGTTCAGGATATTCGAATACTTTTACTATTTTTGGCATTTTGTTGTACAGTTATTTTCAATGTCATAATTTGATTTCAGCTGATAATGATTTAGTTGTAATTGGGTCAGGACCAGGAGGCTATGTAGCTGCTATAAAGGCTGCTCAGTTGGGCATGAAGGTTAGTTGTTTATTGTTTATTGTTTATTTTGAAATTGATTCAAACTTCTGGATTATAGTTTAGATTTGACCTTATGAATAATTTTTTTTAAAATCATGATAGAAAACATTTCAAAACCATTTTGTTTTTGTTTTTATTTGTTAATTAATTTTATAACAAAAACTTTAAAAAGCTCTTGCTTGCAAATTGTTTAATGTTTCTCCTATTCTTATATTGGCGTCGCCCATGTCTGTCTGTCCGCTCGTAAACACTCTGGATGACAAAATTTGTGATAGATTTTGACGAAACTGGGTCTGAGTGTTTGTAATCATGAACCCTAATGGAAATGGGAAAAAATCGAATTATTGCCCTTGTTCTTGAAACTTTTTCAATTTTTAGTCTAGAAGGCACAACTCTGAACAGATTTTGTGTAAGTGTTTTTGTAATCATCCAAGGATGAACCCTAGGTAAAATGAAATAAATTGAAGAAAAAATAAATGAGTTATTACCCTTGTTTTGGAAACATGTTCTATTTTTAGCTTATAAAGACCAGAAGGTACAATTCTGGATGCATAGAAGAACCCTATTGGAAATCAAAAATTATTATATCCGAGTTATTGACATATTCTTGTTTTAGCTCGTAAACACTAAAAGGCACAATTGTTACCAGATTCTGACATAATTTGGTAATATTGTTAAGTATCGCATCAAAAAGAAGCTAACTTTTGATTTGTTTATAGACTGTCTGTGTGGAGAAAAATGAAACACTTGGTGGTACATGTTTAAATGTTGGCTGTATACCATCAAAAGCCATGTTAAACAATTCACATCTTTACCATATGGCCAAATCGCAGGATCTTCAAAAAAGGGGAATAGAATGTGAGTTCAAGCATTTTTTTCTAATGTTAAACCACAGTGGCTATTGTTTTATCTCATTATTGGTTGTTGTAGGGTATCTTCCTGTCTCTCTTGTTTGTTAATGCCCTTAAACCAACCAACACCATCTACCACAATGAGAATACTAATTTAATTTCTGTTGCAATATGAATTTTTACATTGGCTGACCTACATAATTTACAGAAATCTAAATTATTTCAGTCAGTGATTTAAAGTTAAATTTAGATGTAATGATGGACATGAAGAAAAATTCAGTGAAAGCTTTAACTGGTGGTATAGCTCATCTCTTTAAACAAAACAAGGTACATTTTCTGTAACTTATTCTTAACTTCCCTTTACTAGAAGAACACCATCCATAGTATAAAGGGTTACTGTGATGCATTATATTTTTGATTTGTTATAAGAATGCATGAACTTTAGGCTCATTTTATCTCACTCTTTAACTTGGTTCATTCGAAAGGCTGCAATGTTTAGGGAAAAGTCAAACATTTTATTTTGAATTAACTTTTTTATACGCCCAAATGAAAAGGGAGTATATTGGTGTTACCCATGTCTGCCTGTCGGTATGTCTGTCCGTCAACATTTGCTTGTAAAGACTCTTGGAGGCACAATTCTTGATTTATTTTGATGAAACTTGGTGGGAGTGTTTGTCACCGAAGCCTGAACCCTATTGAAAATCAGAAGAATCGAAAAATATTTTCTATGAGTTATTGCTATTGTTCTTGAAATCGCATTCAATTTTTAGCGCGTAAACACTCTAGAAGGCACAATTTTGGATGGATTTTGACAAAACTTGGTGTGAGTTATTAGCTATTGCCCTTGTTCTTAAAAACCTTGTATTACACATAAACAGTCTTGAATGCACAATTCTTACATCTTTGTAAATAAGTTTATCACAAGCCTCGTACTAGATATGTATGTTTTCACCTTTTATTCTTTATTGCAATTAACATGGTCTGTTTCACAGGTGACACATTTACAAGGTTTTGGAAGTGTAACTGGTCCCAATGAAGTAACAGTTACTAAAAAAGATGGTTCAAAAGAAAAAGTTTCAACTAAAAACATATTGATTGCTACAGGTTCAGAAGTCACTCCCTTTCCGGGTATAGAGGTACAAATTATTCATTAGATTGAAATTATTTCATAAAAACAAATATTAAGATCGATTACAGAAATTTAGATATCTAATTTTATTATTGATCTTTATTGGTTGGCTTTTTACAGATTGAAGTTTTAACAAGTTGAAATGGAGCTCTATCAGCTCAGATTGTGGGAACTGGGTAAGGAGGCAGTATTGATTCAATGAGCTTGACTAAAATCTAGAGATCTGTATTCTTTTAGGTTGATGAGAAGCAAATAGTATCATCTACTGGGGCATTATCTTTAGCTCAAGTACCCAAAAAACTAATATTAATAGGTGCTGGTGTTATTGGAGTAGAATTGGTAAATATTTTCTATACAATACACTTCATCTTCTAGTCATTCATATATGACAGTATATTATACATTCTGTGAACATTGAGCTTTGAATAATTACTCTACACAACATTTTGAAAATTACAAAAGAGTGACAGACCCTTGATAACCCTACTCGTGGATAATTCACCTTTTTCACCTTTTTAAAGAGTCTGAAGTATTCTCTTTATTAAGTTTAATAATAATAATAATATTTTTAATAATCTATTTTAAGATATAGTTTGAAAATATTGATGTATTTAGCAATGAATTACCAGTGAAAATATGTTATTGTAAGATAAAGTAATAATAAATTTTACTTTTAGGGATCAGTTTGGCAAAGATTAGGGGCTGAAGTGACCTGTGTAGAATTTTTAGGTCATGTTGGAGGTATGGGAATAGATATGGAGGTTTCTAAAAACTTTCAACGTATATTAGCTAAACAAGGAATCAAATTTAAAGTAAATACTAAAGTACTTGGAGCTACTAAACAAGGTGATCAAATTAAAGTAAAAGTTGAAGGTGTCAAGGACCAGAAGACTGAAGAGGTGTGTTTTGTTTATTTATTTTCTTTGATTGATTGGTTCATCAACTTATATTGTTTTTATCACAGATTTGAGTGTACTCATGTCATTAAGATAAGATCTCCTATTGTAGGCCAACTGTATAAAGGTTTTATCAGTGGTTTTACAACCTGAAGGTTATGATGATACCCATCATGTCCAAACCACGGCCCCAGTCGTCATACTTGCTTGAGACCCTGGTAACACAAGTGAGAAAAATTATGTATATACAGCTAAATATTGTCCAATCAAAATTATCACTGCTGTCATGGTAGTAAAATTTCAACCAATTTACTAGTGTTGAAACGGTTAATCAGTTAACCAATTTCGGGTAGTATTTCACGGGTAACTGGGTCTGATTTGAGATAATCGGTTAACGGTCAATTTTCTAAGAAGTAAAATATATATTGCCATCACCCATGTCCGTCTGATTTTGATGAAACATGGTTGATTGTGAAATCTATTGAAAAACTATTAGTCTTGAAAAATATTGTTCTTGAAATGTTGGTAAACACTCTAGAAGGCTCAATTCTTAGCGGATTTTGACGAATCTTGGTCACCCAAAGATGACCTTATTGAAAATTAGAAAAATTTAGTTTAGAGTTATTGCCCTTGTTCTTTCGTAACATGTTCAATTTTTAGCTTGTAAATACTCCAGAAGGCACAATTCTCGACCGATTTTGAGTAAACTTGGTGTGAGAGTTTTTTATCACCCAAGGATGAACCCTATTGAAAATCAGCAAAAATCGAAAATATTGAGTATGAGTTATTGCCAGTGTTCTTGAAAACACGTTCAATTTTTAGCCTGTAAGTACTTTAGACAGGATAATCCTTGACAGATTTGATGAAACTTCCTGTGAGTGTTTGTTATCACCCAAGGATGGATGAGGGAATAAATCCTATTGAAAATCAGAAGAATCGAAAAATATTCAATTTGGTGAAATTGTTTTAATCACCCTTGGATGAACACCATTGAAAATAAAAAAAAATAAAAAATTGTTTTATAGGAGTTATTGCCATTGTTCTTGAAAATGCTTTCAACAATTTGCTCATAAACACTAAATAAGGCAGGATTCTTGCCAGGTTTTGATAAAACTTATTCAAAAGAAGTGTATGACTGAAGGTTGAATATTTCATACTGGTAATTGTTACTGTACTGCAAAATATTTTTATTCTAAATCAAAGCTGCGTATATTACCTTGGCTAGTAAGCTATCTTATGAGTAAGTGCCATGGTTCTTGAAAACGGTTAAATTGTTAGCTCGTAAACACTAAAAGGCTAAAAGGTTTTCGAAGAAGTGTATGGCTGTATGGAGAGCTATCTTTACATCTAATAACAACATTGTTAATTTTGTCAACATTGGTCTGTTTTTAGTTGGAATGTGACACACTGTTGGTATGTGTAGGACGTAGACCATATACTGAAAAACTAGGTTTAGAAAATATCTCCTTAAAAGTAGATAACAAAGGGAGAATACCAGTTAATAACAGGTTTCAAACTTCTGTGCCAAGGTATAATATATTTTGTCTTGCATTTATAATTTTTTTCAAAATACATTCTCACCCAAACAGTAAACTTGTCTAGTGCAAGTGAATGGAGTTTGAATATATACTTCTAATTTCATGACCTAGGCCTGTGTGCTTTCTTGGGGAATTTTATTCTCATAAGAGCCTGACACAAACTAAATTTGCTGATTCTATATTATGCAATACATCCTCCTAGGTGTTGTAATTTAGATGAAAAACAGACCTTAGAACATGCAGTAATTGGAACATTAGTCACAAGAATTTATTTCTTTGTTTTTGTTTTCAACTTAACACTTTTTAGCCTACCCTTAGAGAACACTGCAACCATAATAAAAGCATTTATAAGAGAGATTATTTAGCTAATGTTATTTTGATATTTTATTTACAGTGTATATGCTATAGGTGATTGTATCGCTGGACCAATGTTAGCTCATAAAGCAGAAGATGAAGGTAACCAAATATTTTAAAATCTCATATGATGATACTGTAGCGTGGGCATCCTCTATGTGTTGAGGGAGCAGTAAATTATAATTATTATTGTTATTAACTAGCTCTCTGTTGAAATATATTTTAGGTATAATATGTGTTGAAGGTATGTGTGGTGGAGCAGTACATATAGATTATAATTGTGTACCTTCAGTAATTTACACCCATCCTGAAGTAGCTTGGGTTGGTAAAACAGAAGAAATGTTAAAAGAAGAGGTAAATAATTTAAATTTGAAGATCATCTAATTTTAGTCTCCAATTTACAGTTGGCATCCATGTTGGTCCTTCACTTTTCCAGGAAATATACTCTGTCAATATCAGCCTTTATGAGAAATTGTGGATACTGGGGTGAGTTTTCTCCCTTGACCCACAGCCCACTTCGTTTTCAAAGATTTTTTGAAAGTAAAATAGAATTATCACTTATAATTCACAATTAATATATATCACAATTATAACGATAGATCAATTATACAATCCAAAAGGTATGAATATTTGGTATTATAGCAGTTTTGGACAATTTGAATGCTTTATGAAATAGGTTGATTTGAAACTGTTGTGTACCTTACATAATTTTTACTTTCCTGTCCCATCCAGCTGCCCAAGTTGGTTTATGTGATTCTATTACAGTACCATTATGAAATATATATATATGAGGCAACTTGGATACTTAAATGGTAACCCTTCAGTTAAAATATGTCAAATTTGACTGGTAGATATGAAAGAGGCAACAGTGTAGACTGTACTTGGCACATAATTTTTCCGTTATCTGGCCAAGATAGATAGATACATTCGGAATTTTTTTGTCAATATAACTGATATATTGATACATGGTTTTGTTAGTTACTGTTCTTGTGTGTTTCAGGGTATAGATTATAAAATTGGTAAATTTCCACTAGTAGCCAATAGTAGAGCTAAATGCAATAATGATACAGATGGTTTTGTAAAAGTTTTAGGTGATAAAAAAACAGATAGATTACTAGGCGCACATATAATTGGTTCAGTAAGTTAAATAAACCTTATAACAATTGTTAACAAACTCCTGAAAATTATTGAGATTTAATCTGAGAAGGAACATAACTTAAATCCAAATATGGTCTCCAGCATGTGTGATTATGACACTACATTTCAGATCAGATTTATGAAAGATGTTGAGGTATTTCAGATTAAGTAACAATACTGTTATTGTAATCATACATATTTAAATTTTTTGTCTAGGTGGCTGGTGAATTAATCAATGAAGCAGCTCTAGCCATGGAATATTCTGCATCTTGTGAAGATATCGCACGTGTATGTCATGCTCATCCAGTAAGTTTATGTTGCGTCTTCTTCTGTATAGAGACCTTAGTATGGTTTTAAAAATCATGTTGTCTCCATTAGAAAATAAACTTTTTTATGGATATAATACTTTTTATGCTAGATTAAGAATCCTGTATGAGAATTGAAAGGTAAAAAATCAAAGGAAAAAGTTTGTCGTAAGCCTTATAAAGATTATAAATTTTAAAGATTATCTTCCCTCAAAATATTTATTTTAATTTCAGACTGTAGCTGAAGCTTTCAGGGAAGCTAATCTTCAAGCCTATTGTGGAAAAACCATAAATTTCGGTTAACTAGAAACCTTTTGTTTGTGTGCTTGTTATATTGAGTGTTTGAAGTAGATGCTACATCATAATTGTTGAAACATAAATTACGATTGACCTGTGATTTGGATTTGGTGATTTGGTTGTAACATTGCATTGAAAACAATGTTACAAAAGCACAGACACAGGAGGTAGTGTGATAGTTGTGTTTTGAATAATGATGCAGACATTTATCTCAACACTCTATTGTGTTTGTTCATGAAAACATGATAAATTTTGAGACAATTTAGAGAATTTTTAAATTTGTAATACTGAAATCTGAATCTCTTTAAGTTGATTTTGGTCCCTTGAGTTAAAACTTTGAATTGAATTTGGGTAGAATGTTTTGATTAAGATTTGGGTTGCATGCAAATGGAATTGAAATATAATTCCTATCACATTCTGGACATATTTCTGTGGACATTATTATGCTGGTCATTTTCAAGCCTGAAAAGCCTTCAGTTTTACACCGTGTATGAATGTTTTTCCTTGGCCACACTGTCAATAATGGTACACTTCAATTACTGAGTAACCTTTGCACATCTTCATAAATCGATATTGAATTGGAGAGATTAATCTTTCTATTAGAATTTATTTAAGAATATTAGGATTGACCAACCAGACATTTGTTATATTTTGTGTTGTTGAAATAGAATTGTAAGAAATATTTAATTTGTACAATATGTATTATACAAAAAAAATGATTCAATTTTAATGCATCTTCTTTCTTTCCTTTGGAATTGATTCATACCAAGATGAAGAAAGTTTTGCTCAACTGCAAAGACATTAGTCTGATTTGTGCTCCTAAGCCAAGGTATCCACAGGTTTAAAAAAAATAGACAGTAAATTTGAATCCACACAAATCCAAGATCACAGAAATGTTGTTCTGAAATTCTAGATGAAGATGAATTTATTTATGTTACACAAGCAATATCTTGAGTAACATCACTGTCTTTTGTGCATCTCTATTTTGGCAATACTATAGCCAATGAAGGTTTGATACATGATGAAAAAAAAAACCAATTGGCTACTGGGAGACAGGACTCACAATTCTGTTTTTATGATGATTTTTATGCACAAACTCCCAATTAAAAGCAGGCATTTCCTGCAATATGTAGTCCTAGCTATCAGTATTAGTTCTAAGATTTGTTTCTGATTTACAAGACTTATGTTAACATTAAAATAAAGTTATAGGAAACATCTGTACTGATTTAAGAAAGATTCATTTGAATTAAATGACTAAAAAATAACTTTCAATGTATTAATAAAAAAATATTTAATATTAAATATCACATTTTTATAATTATTTACAAATAAATATTTCGTTTTCAATTGTATTTTCAGACTTGAAATTATTTCCCTTCAACTTCAGTTAATTTTCTTCATCACCAGACTGAATGACTTCTTCATTCTACAAAGGTAACATAATAATTATAATATTTTATATTTACACATTTCATTTGTTACATAGAGAGGTCAGTGAAAATTCAAAACAGACATTTTGAGATAAAACTTCTACAGCTTTTACATTTCACTTGCTTGTGATTATCTTTAAAGTTTTTAAAGCGTTGGTCCAATTACACATAATGTATAAATGCCAAATAATTTAACGTAAAGCTGTTGCATTCTTTATAAATCTTAAATATAGTTATCTTAAAATTAAAAACTTACTCCTTCATTTGCCTCTGCTTCTTGTCGTCTATGTTCAAATATTTCTTCTGCTTCTGTTCTTTCTTCTTCAGTATATTCATCTTTATCTAATCTTTCTAATTTCCTTAATGCTATTAATATTTCTAATCTATAGTCATCTTCTTCTGATGCTGGATTCTCTGCACAGAACAAAACACAACTTTATACATTGTTTGATTTTGAATAATTTGTATTTCTTGGACTAATCTTGAATTCAGTTTCGTATTTTTGAAAGTTCTATGGCATTTTGCGTTAAATTAACATGAAGGTTTTATCAAACTAACTACATGTATTTAAAAACATTCTAGATCAAGGATAATTTGGTCACATACCTGACATAACTAAAGCTCGTAGCATAGGTAAACATTTGAGTTTAGTAACTTCTTTAGCGGTGGTTATATTATTACCTCTAAAAATATAATTCCATGTTAATAATAATTGTTTTGTTATAGTTGCACTTGTCATACTCTAAAAACTTTAAGTCAGGATATTTAACTTTTGACATGGAGATGTCAAGTTCAATCTGAATGAGATATCAAGATATTTATTGGTTTAAATGGCAAAAAACTATTTCTAAGTTGCATGTAAGAAGGTAAAGCAGCTTCTTGTTTCCAATGAACGTCAAGATTATACAAACCTTAAGTTAATATACTGTAAAAGTTTTTGACTGTCAGAAAAACCGTCTAAATTCTCTAATTGATTATCTCTCAAATGCATGGTGGTTAAACTTATCAATCTACCTAATCCTTCTAATTTCTTTAATACATTAGCACCCTGAATAAAAGTTGTACATAGGTTATAAATAACTAAAATAAGTACTAAAATGGTGGTCACAAAAGGAAACTAATCATTTCATTAAATATCCTATTGTCCAATGTTTTCAATAATTTTACTTACAAAAAAGTTAAATTTCTACAGGTGAGCTCAGACTGACTTATAACGGTAGTAGTAGAAACATTATCTTTAAATGTTAGTCACTTACAACATTATTAGAACAGACTGTATGAGGAAGGAACTTATCAAATTAAATAACTCACTAAGAAAAGATTTTTAAGATTTGGTAAATAAATTCCATCTGTAGATTCAAGTCTATTTCCACGTAATTCAAGGGTGTGTAATCTGCTCAACTTGGAAGAATCTAAACCAGTCACACTTGATATGTTATTAACTGAAATCATCAAAAAAAATAAGATTGTTTTTCATTAATTTATCTATTTATTCGACATTCATTTTCTCTTTACTTATGTGTTCAAAACTCATTAAATGCAAGCATTCGTGTAAATTGCTAATGGCAAAGTTTATACAACAGAAAAACTTTATACAAGTGTAATACTGTGCACATCACACAAATATTTCTTGTTTGTAATTTTTCTTTTGTTTCATTTGACTTAATGAAATCACATAATAGACTTCAAAATTTACAATCATTATAATAATTCAGTGAATGTTTTTAAACAACTACTTACAATTTAAGGAAAGATGCTCTAACATAGGATGACTTACACCTTCTGTTGTTTGGATTTTGTTGTGATTAAAACTTGCAATCTGTAAAAATGGCATTTCTGCTAATTTTGCACTAGTTAAAAGATTTTCGTCAGCTTTTAATGTGAGCAAATGTGTCAAAGAACTAAGTGGTGAAATGTCTTTCAAATTATTTTTACTAACATCAATGTAGCGTAAATGAATAAAATTCTTCAATATTTCCAAATCAGTTATCTCTCTGAAAAAAAAAAATTGATGGATGGAAGCAGCAGCACAATTTAAAAAGATTAACAAAACTTATACTGCTGGGACAATAAGAATATTTTAGAATAAAGTTTTATACAAAATGTATGAATTACAGGTTGATAACCAATGACAATAAAAATCAGTAGCCATTTGAGGGTAAAGCATACATCTGGGACAAAAGCAAAACCAGACAGAAAGATAAAATAAGCTATGGGAAACCAGCTTAATTTTAGTATACAGCATGTGGTTACGGTAGTTTAGAGCTTTCAGCACAGTAATAAAAAGAACCATTACTTTTCATGGATATCGAGACGAACATAAGCATGTGCTAAACCATCACCAGTTTTACAAATCAGTGATAATCCTTCTGAAACTATTTCTTGTGTTAATGGATTATCAGGAGGACCCTACAATATTTAAACAAATAAATAATGATCATACAGATAAATAGTTTACATAGAAATTTATAGATGGTGTATAAAAAAAACTATGTTATTACAAGTAAACCACTTCTCCCTTCTATATAAGAATATATATATATTTGCCTAAGGGCAAAGAGAGTAAGGTTTCACATAGAATGCAGTCCAGATCGAGACCATCATTAACATCAAATTGAATTGTCAAAATATTTCATGAAACTCTTTCAAAATAGTTCAAATTAAATATTTTTATCACTCAGCCTAATTTAAACCTGTTTTTTGAAATTTAAATAAATGGATGGGGGCAATGTTGCATGATCAGGTAGCACACAAGCTAGGCAGTCAGACCGAAACATCTGTCTCCATTCCAGCTATTTGGATAGATGCCGGCTAGTGTAGAGACAGAAAAAGTAGGTCCTGTTAAATGAGGACATTCCGCAGGTGCAAGGGTTTTAAACCTATTTAGATACCTCAGATCTGCAAAACCCAGATATATTTGAAAGGATGAATATTTTTGTAGTCCAGTCATACATCATTTGTTCCCTGTCAGGTGTCCGGTTGCACAAAGTTTTTTTTTAACAAAACGAATCAGCCGACTAAAACTGCGTGCGAAGCCAAGAGCTCAAGGGTCACAGACTCATGTAATACGGTACTAACAAAAAAGGAAAGTCACGGTAATATTGGTAATGCCCAACACTTATTTAAAGTCATTGTAAAGGTAATTTAATATTGTGTTAGAAAAAACGCATCACTGGTGATGTGAAAAATCCTCATTAAACAGGACCTTTTTCTTCTGACTCTACTCCAGCCGACAACTGTCAAAATATCCACCAGAGGCTGGAATACGGACTACCCTACAGTATGTGTATGAAGTCTAGGGCTAGGTAGACACAATTGTTGGCTATCGATTTAACAACTATTTAATGGTAATTGAAAGAAATTATGTCTTATAAAAGTTTTCTTGCCTCCTCTTCCTCTACTTCTTCCTCTTCATTTTCCGGTTTATCTTCGTTTTCTTGTTCAACTTCAGGTTCCTCTTCTTGTTGTTCCTCCATATCCATATCATCTTCTCCTTCCCCAGTTTCTTCTCCATATGTTTCTTCAGTTTCAGACATTGTCGATAATAGAGTTACAGATCCAAATTAAAAAACAATCCGAGTGATCTAAATTCAATCTCTAGGTAGAGTCTACTGTTATAAATTAGTCGTTAAACAAATCACGAAATTCACTAGTTTCTGACAGCCGATTGTTTACAATATGGCGTCCGTTTCTATAGATACGCGTGAGTAGTCAATTTTTAGATACATTGTTTGTGAAGCTAATAAGGAAGTACGTGGATCTGTAAGGTTATGGTTATGACTCTTATATATTAATGATACTATTTTGGTTTCCATTCGTCAAGTTCAATCATTATTATTCCCCCAAAAATCATTTAATTCTAAAAACTGTTAAATAACGCAGTTTCTCGTGAGATAAAACGTGGTTAGCAGAAGATTGAAAAAGGAATGACCGGCAGAATGATCTCTTCGGCTCTTGCTGCGAAAATGTCCATAAAAATAAAACTAACTATGTGACAAGAGATGTGTGGCTTCTGGCTCTCTTCTAAAAAAGTTTCAATGGCAATATTACCAGGGCCTTGTCATAAGGTACTTTCTCACAAGGTGGCCTGTTGTTGATCAATCATTTGGATGAGAAAAGAAAGCATTGGCTCTTAGTTCTGATGGAGTGAGGTTCAGTTGGCATGTTGACTTACACAAATACTAATAAATTAAGTACCTCTAGACCTATGCCTATCAATATCATGATTAATAAGATAATATAGGTCTGTCTTGATCTAAACCTTTCTTTCATACTGAAATTATTATATAGGCCAATTAACATACGCCTAAGTCTAAGAGGTCTATATAGTTTAAACTATTTGAAGTTGATAAAAGTTGCCAAACCCAGACATCCAATGCCAGTCATTCAGAAAGTCATGTACACCAGTTTACAACACAGTTATTAAGATCTATGTGGCACTTTAAAATTATATTCTTTCTTTTTTGAGAATATCGAAAATGCTACATCTCCTTTCAAATGATTATCGTAAAATTTTGTATGCATATCATCAAGTTGGAACATAGAAAGTTTGCGGCAATTCTAAATAATTATATGATAAAGTTAATGATCTTGACCTACAGATCCTTAAGTTTTCTTCATGAAAGTAGTATTTCTATGTGCAAAGTGCAAATCTGAGTTTAATTTGAGCACTCATGAATTTATGTGCTTTTAGAAATTAGGTGCTTTAATAATGCATGGTACGTTTTATTTATTATGATGCTGAAGTATTTCTTTCTATTGGAATCTTCAAAACGGGGAACAAACAGAAAGCAATAGATGTGAAGAAAAATGATATTTCAAGAAGAAAATTACATTGTGGTTTTTCTGTGATCACACTTTATTTGGTAGTAAATTGCACTCATAGAAGTTCCATGTTTATTATTTGAATTTTAAGCAAGCTATCGTGATATTTTTTGAAAATACTTTACTGTGGTGTATATTGCCTGACTGTAGGTTGAAGTCAGATAAATAATATACCTGGTATTACTATGGTGTCAAGTAACATTAAAGATTTATTTAACCAATACTTATTGATCTCCTGCCCTTACTTCAAGTTTGGTTATTTTGGTTTCTATAGTAACCTTGTCTACCTTATACTACCAATAACTTGAATAAAAGGCAATAAAAGTCCATTGTTTATTTTTTATTGTTTATTCACTCAGTCAATATCTTTTTTTCATTCTTTCAATACAAATTACATCGAATTGTGTATATAAATGAATTTCTGTTGTCATAACAACCAATCTAATTTAGTTATTTTGATTGATCACTATCCAGTGCAAATTTGGAAATAGTTCCTGTTTTCTGAATAGAATGCCTTTATCACAAAATGATGTAATTACAGACACGATCATAGTTTTTTAAAGATTCTTTGAAGTTTTGTAAATTTTTACCATTTTGATAAAATAAGACTAGATGCTACTTTTGGATTGGATTTGACAGCTCAACATCCTTCAGGCTCTCATAGCTAGTATAATTCCTTAGATTTTTTTCTTATTTTATTTGTATTATATCTGAAAAAAAATTCTGAAATATTTTGGGAGGTAATTAGCAATTTTTCAAGCCTATTCAATTAGAAATTGTATATTTAATCAGATAAGTGGTACTATACTATGAAATATACATATTGGTGTACGTGCATAGGTGCATAAAGAAAAATAATAAAGGCTTATGTTTGAGAACTTAATATTAACAATAAATGGATTAAAGAATATAATTATTTTGGGTTGTCATAGGTTACTTTACAAAATAAAGGGAAATACTACACTTTAAACATATTATATAATAAGATTTTATTAATGACCACTAACATTATAAATATGAATATATGGAATTCAAATATAAAACCACATGATAGACCCAAATTTGCATTTGTGAAGAATTTTTTTTGATTTGTTGTATGATTGAATAAAAACTTGCACCCATTTCTTGTTTAGTTTAGTGTGTTTTGTTTATGATTATATTTAGCTATATAAGTATATTTTGTAAAGATAAAGTAGTTTTATATACATATTATGTATTATAAGAGTTGTTAGGCTAGATTGTGGATATCAGTTTAAGTATTACCTTGGGAACCAAACTTTTGTTTGATTAACCCCAATCTATAATATCATATTGTAACTTCAATTTTTTCCTATCAATTCACTTTATCATGACTGTATGAGCTTACAGGTAAGTTGAAAACTTATTTAATAATATATTTTATGATTGTATATTATTCGCATAAAAAAAGAATATGGAAAGGTTGGGATTTTGTAATCAACTAAGGCTATGCAAACTTTCTCTTACTTTATTTTTAGATTTATTTTTGGTTAATTTTTACCTTTTTCTACCCTGGTCCATGACTTGGAATATTTTCCATTGCTTCTTTACCTTTATTTATTCTGCAAATCTGATCTTTTTGTTTTATTTTTGAAAAAATGAGTTGAAAAGACATTTAATTGGTAATCAATGTTAGGTTGTTAGAGAGAGCAATCATCTTGATAAAAGTTGAATATACAAAGTCAGTTTGTTATAATATTGATGTCTATGTTTGATTAGAATTTGATAATTATTGGAATTCCTGGGAATGAGCTTGTAATATTGAATTTGTTTTTAGAAGTTCTGAGAGTAATTTACCTTTCCTGGTGTGCGATTTACCTAAAAAGTAATTCAGTGTAGATTCATTGATTCTGGTTACTTTCTTTCTTTTATTCACTTTGTTAGTTAAGATATCGTCAGGCGTCATAGCAACCAACTATTATTTATGCATGCCCTATCTGGTATATTGTGGTTGTTGTCATGACAATCAATGAATTTGTGGATTATGGGTTATTGGAAGGGACAAGCGTTTCCTGGGACAGTCATGGAAGTATTGAGTTAAAGAATGACATCACTCAGGTATTGCTTTTTTCAATTGTTTGAACAATATGTAGTCTATTGAAACTTAGTTTATTGTAATTATGATTGAATATATAACTGTATCCAAATAAAAAATTTCATGTAAAGGAATTCATGGTTAGTTGTGCCTAAGTTGAGGTACTATTTAGACAACGAATTTTGTAAACTTATATTACAAGATTAGTTCGCTTATTGTGCATATTTTTTTCATTGATATTCAAATTTATAACTTTATGAAAGTATTATAGTTAATAATATAATTGATTCCAAGGCTATGTAGAAACTTGTATCTTTTTATCTACAGCAAAAAAAAAACAACAACTAAAAGAGAAATAATAATTTGTTATTGATGGAAGATTTTTTTTATTTAAAAAGGATACTCAGTATTTCAGTCAAAAACAGTTCTTTTAATTTTGAGGTTAAGAATTTTTTTTTTTATCTTGTAAATTGAGGTTAAGCATGAAATGTTCAATTAGTTATTGATTTTTGAATTATAATCTTGATCATGTGTATAAAGATATAATATAAGTGTACAATGAATATATGTGACCCTCTCAATTGTTCTGTTGTTAATTAGGTTTGAATTAACACTTTATTGGTAAACAAATACAAGTTTAATGTTAATTATCTCCTTCATATCTAATCAATTACACTCTATCAGTTTCAATTTTCTTTTAATTTCTTTCTAGTAAATCAGTGCTGGTGTTTCTTTTCAATATTTCTTAAATGCACATTACATTGTTCACAAATAAAATAACATTTCAGATCTTAAACATTCAGTTAATTAATAAATTTTCAGTTTAGATGTGGAAGATAATTTACAGGCTTAATTTTAAACTTAATACTGTAGCCTTAGAAAAAATGGGAAATTTATTTCATTTGGAAAATCAGACTGTTTTTGGTATATTTTGAAATATGCAGATTTTCTTCAACGTGGATCACTATTAATATTTATATCAATATAGGTTTGAGTTATAAAGCTAGGGGATTAAAGTATCCTAATTTATCATAGAAATGGATCATTATGATATTTGAACATATAAAAAAACGTAAGAGATAGTCCAGCATTTACTGACCGAAGCATGCTTCTTCTCTGTCCAGCCTGACAAAAAAAAAAAACGAATGGAAAATAATGGAAGGAAAAATCAATTCAGAATGTTACTGAAAAGAAAGCAACAAATACAAATGTTAAGGATGCCGTTTGCATGGCTGGTCTCAACAAACTGCATTGATCTTTTTAGGATAATCCACACCCTTTAAAGATAGGCCAACTAGAATAGTGAGGAAAGATGACATCCTCAAAGTCACGAAAGTTTCACCCAATAAAGACTTGACCATGCAAAGTAAAAGAACATCAAAATTATGGGTAAAAGAGATAACATTACAGAATGCAAGGATTCATAAACATAAAATCCAGACACTTTATTCACTGCCGCAAATTTTTAAAATATTTATATATTCAACAAACCACAAGTGGCCATTGATTTTGATGAAATTCGGTATGCATAATTATGTATAATGATGATATGTCAGATGAGTTTGATTTTTGTACAACTACAATGAAGTTTTTGACCAGCATTGAACTTGATGCCATTAACTGTTACAAAGAAATTCTCTTCTCAACATCAACCATTTT